GCCCCAGGGGTGGTTTGCTCTGGCGGCCCATATTGCATCGGCCCAGAGGGGGGGAAGCTGTTTAATTATCTGCGGGGTGGTGGTGTGAGCGCGGCCGTCGGGCGGAGCACGTGCGTTTGAGCGAATGTCGGTCAAGTGGCCACAGTCTGGGCGCACATGTGTCCGCGCGGATGTAGGTCAAGTGGCCGCAGCAGGTGGCGTTGTTATGCCGGAAAAAAATCCAGTTTTTTACCCATCACAGGCGTACCATCGACATAATTACAAAATGGAACAGACAAAAACCCGGCCCTATGCGCGGGTCGGGTTGTGTCCAAATTTCAGCGCAATCGGTGCAGTACTTTCGGAGATAAGATATAACACAGAAAAAAAATCCTTCCATTTTTATATATATAGATGACGTCTATCTGAAGCGCTTGTTTAATAGGATCCCGAATGGTCATGCGGACAATTCAGTCTACTTGACTGGCTCATTTTTTTTGACGTAGACCGATCGCGGGGCTGCGGTAGTGTAAATCCGCGTTAAAACAGGCCGGAAATCCCCGACCCATCCTTAAACAGTCGTTGCCGCTGCTGCTGCAACTAGGATACTAGCATACAAATCTAATAACACTGGGTAGAAACTCTTGTTTAATATTCACGTAAAAGCTGCAACGCAACTTCGGACACCACCTAGACTAGTCGGCGTGTCCGTCGTTCCATTAAGTGAGGCGGATATCGTCTGCAACGTCTAAACCTCCGAACTTTCGGGCGATATTCCATTGTCTAAAAACAATATTACGGAAGGGAGCTGAGAACGATCGCACTGTGCAGTGTGTCTGAAGGCTTACAGTGAAAGTATGGCCTACGCAATACCGCAAGTTGTGGCCAGAATCTAATGAAAGGTCAAGCTTGCAGGGTATAAACCTCATACCAATTTACTCAGTGACTGTAGGCATTTAAAGTTAGGGTGAGGATTAACTTGGACAGTCAACTGTACACCTGAAGTTCTCCCTTCAGACGAGGCAAAGGTGACTTGCACTGCTGCCTTGTCAGGACCAAAAACGTAGCCCCTGAGCAGTTGAACAAGTCACCCGGATGCAACGGCTCAGCAACATGGTTGAGCTAGAGGTGCAGTTAGTACTTTCACGAATGACCGCTGAATTATATTTCTGTGTGCATCCTCCAATGACAGCATGCTTGTTACACCATTTCATAAAGTTGACGAAATCCTTAGGTGGAAATGGCTGCACAACGATCTGTTTGTCGCCGTCTCACAGTCGCTAAACTCCAACACGGGACGATCAGTGAAAAGTGTCGGACCGACCCGAACAAATACTGTTTGATGAAGAAAGAGCGATAGGACTTCGATTCGACAGAGTTAGCGACCTGAAAATTAAAGGCAAAAGACGGAGCGATTTGTTCCAAGTCGCAGATGTTGATTAGAAGTACAGATGGATTAAAACGGCACGAAGAGGCCCGGAGAAAGTTATCCTAGTTTTAGTCGTTCTTAGCAATCATTTTCAAGATCAGGCTTGATCAGATTAGACGATACTTTTAAAAATGTTGGGTTTAGCAGTCTAAGCGATGGTTTACGTGAGCACAATTCCAAATGAAGATACTATATCAGTTCGCCACTTGTTCGTGAGGTCAAACATGTAGGAATTCTCTCCAGAGAAGAGACGCTGAGATGGTGCTGGGCCGATCTGCCTAACCATTCAGAGAAACGTAAGAGTCCCCAGAAGAGTTGGGGACTTATGCCAGACAGATGGTCCCGCGTCAAAAGCAACGATCTCCACGTCTTACTGGGAAGAGATAACAAAAACGCACTAGCAAACGAATGGAAAGCAAAATTTTCGACAAGAGTTAATCCATGTATAAACTTGGAAGTCGCTGTTGCCACAGAACCGCATAAGCTAGATGTAAAATAGAAAGACGGAGCTTTGCGTCGGGCGAATCAATAACCCTCGAGAAAACCCGATCAAATCTCGTCTTCACAAAAGAAAAGCGTCTTTGTTGACACTATAAGCTTTGGTGGACATCTCTGCAGACAACGAATGTGATAAGAAACCGTGAGGCCGACCTGAATAGCATCGTTCCGTAGTATCCGAGAGTGAATCGCCCGGTCCATAAGCAGTTGGGCAGCTAGAGGGGATGTTTGAAACCTCGCTGCATTTGGATGTAGAACGCGTTGGACGAAAGAAAGCCGTTAGTTCCTTGGTTTTCTGGCGGGACAATGGATTGTGAGGCTTCTTATTACGCAAGGTTCTATGGGCAGAAACATGACGAACTGCGGATTTGCTGGCGCAGAAGCTAGTAGAGCTACTAGCAAGTAGTCCTGGTGATGCACTGGTAAGACGAAAGTTCTCCTTCTCTTCCTAAAAGGGAACTCACACTAGACTGGAAATTTACCGATACGTTGCTATCGAGTGAATCCTCATCCACACCGGCCTCCAAAAGCAACTGTCGCGCAAGTGCAAGACTAGCTTCTTCCTGCAAGGACTCATAAGCCTTCCTATTGTTTCGAATTCTTCGCAAAGACGCCTCAAATTCTGATGCGACCGAGCCAGGGCTATCAACATGACGTCTCGTGTTGTTCGATTCTATGCAGGCAAGGTGTCTTCAAAATTTAAGGACGCATTTTACCAGATATTGCACTATAAAGGGACATCTCGGAATCGTCTAAAGAGACATCAATCCCTGCACACCTATTGGAATAATAGCGAGGGAAAAGCCGCTGTATTTCGCGGTCCCGGACGTTGTCAATACATGCTGACGTGTCCTTCAGACGGCGTTTCCAATTTGACAAGCGGAACCTGCATATGGGGCAAGTTAAATTCGAGACGTCGAGAGATATCTCAAGACAATCGTGGCAAACCACGTGCTGACACGGCAGTCTGATCGGCTTGAAAAAGACATTCAAACAAATTGGACAAGTCAAATCCATGCTGCTGACAAGTGATGTTCTCCTTTAACAGACCAAGAAGATGGAGAGATCTGAGCAAACTGTACTTAAATGCCTTTTATGTGTTGGCAGGTGGACGGCTCAGCACTGCAGTGTCTGCACGCCTTTTAATGGCAATAACGCTGAGCAGGAAATATAGCATTTACTTGAGACAAACTCTAATTCGTGCAATAAGTGAATCCGGCAGTATTAAAAATATTTAATAGTAATATCTCCAGTATATTTTACGAGACGTAAATGACGATATCCGAAACAAACAGTTCGGCCTTCCGAAGAGTGAGTAATCAGCGATTTTTGCGGAATGGCCCCGCATGCCATAAGGCCATTGGCTAATGTGGTCCTAACATAGTTTTCACGCGAGTTTGATGTTGTCCGTGCAGTTGTAGCAGCCGAGGACGTCAAGTGTAGCAAAGCACTGGCAAGAGATCCTGACTAACGTTGATCCGAATCGGATCGTTAGTAAGTCACGATACTCATCCGCACACAAAGGAAGAAGGAACGTCAAGTGGGCGAGAGGGTATAATGGACAGAGATGGGAATTGGAAAGGCGTATAATAATAGTTAATAGTACAAGCAGAACGAGTTACAACTGTGGAGTAACCTGTCTGGTTGGAGAGGCGATACCGACATGCCAGCTAATTAACCATTGGGCAACGTAGCGCTGTGGACAACCGTAGAGAAGGGCCGAGGGCGGTGTCGACGTAGACAGAGGGCGAACGATGCGAGCGTCACGGTACGTTGCGGGAAAAGGGGTCAGCGGAAGGGAAAGTAAGGGACACCGGCCATCTTTACCAGCGCGTGGTTGCACCATCTCCCTCCTAGGTCCGAGGACCAAAAAGTGTTTCTTCATTCAAACAACCCTATCGAGGTCGTGGGGCGTTACAGCGTAACGTCCCATGACCTGAACTGGGCTCTTTGAATGTTATGACGCATTTTTGGAGCGCGAAACCAGGAGGAAGGTGGTGTGACCGCATGTCGGCGAAAATGACCGGTGTTCTGTCCTCACGTCCCCGTCGACCCCTCTCCGGCAGTTGCCGTTGTTACGGACCATATCTCCCGCTCTACGTCGGCAATTTCCACGCCCGCCCACATTTGCCGTCGGCGCTGCATTTCCCACCGGCAGTCCAGCTGGTATGTCGGTATCGCTTCTTCATCCACACGAAGCATCATATCCGCTGTAATTCTCATCCCCCCTTTGTATCGTTTAACGTTTCCCTATGTATCTAATTCACTACTCTTAGTATACGTATTGCACACCACTTGACTTTCGCTACTGTCAGCTTGGATGACCCGTCTGACAACTCTCTTCAGATAAGACTAGCCAAGATTTATATATATAGTGCTCCCGTCGTCCAGTGGGTGCTACCCTCGCCGTCTTCGACAGCTACAGTACTTTTTGATCAGTTAAAGTTCCGCAAAGCGCGTATGGGCGATACTTCCAGCAACTGAAGGATTTTATTAAAAGATTATTAAAGTAAAAAATATCAAGACAAGTGCATTTTATACAGCTATTCCAGGGCTAGGAGTTCCAATAAGTATCCTTTGGAGTCTGTTCTTGCGAGAAGTTCGTCTACCTAACCCGTCAATACATCTGCTTGATGGCGGTGGCGACGAAGAAGTATCATGACTAATGACAGCATGCGATTTACATATCTTGTTGTGATGAGATAGTATCGACAAAGACCGGAATGGGCATTTCTGGCTTATTAGCCGTCATCAGCCAGTTTAGTTTTCTGGATGCGACTCGTTTTCGAGGTTCGGCTTTGCGATAACGTCTCTTAAATTGGACCACAAACACTCTGCGCCGACAGGAAAGGTCGAAACAGCTGGGATTTTCAAGGACCATGGTTTACAGGACTTGCGTACGCTAGGTCCTAGCCCTTCAAATAGTTTGTTCGATTAACACTCCTTAACGTGTATGCTGTAGTACAAAAGCAAGCACTGGATCTGTGTGCTCAGTTAATGCGACTTAGGCAGAACGGCATATATGACAGTGACAAAGAGCTAATGTGCAGGACAAAGGAACATGAAAAGTTAAGGGGAAATATGGCAGCCTTTTCTGGAGATTTCGAGTAGCCAACTCCAAATCCGGGATTTCTCATAACTATAGGCCGCCAGGGAACCACACTGCGTACTACAGGATAAAATGCAAGCTCATATCATAATAATAAGTATTTTAATTAAAACCCTTGGTGGTTCCATCATAGCAATTAAAAATAAATTTTCATATGCATTTTAGAACAGGTAGGCAGAATCTCAAAAGTATTCAGCTCATGCTTTTTAATAAGCAGTTTGGGCAGGAAAATGACGAGTGATTCGTGAAAGAACTCCCTTACATAATAAACAAAATAAATTTGTTTGGACTAACTTTAAGGGAGAAAAAACTGTCGATCATGAAAGGGTAATAGTGAAGGCAGGACCGGCCTGTATGTGGAAGTGCATTACGGATTCTCAATTGGCATCGACAGTACAGGAAATGCTGTCGCTCATGAAGGGGCAATTATGCGGGTCAGATAGAACTGGCCTGAATGCGGTTGTTTATAAGGGATTCGATATGCACATCGTCAAGGCAGAATTCATGCACCAGTTGAGTCTATTCGAGTCAAAATGGCGAGAGAAGAGGAACCCAGACGCGATCAGTCGCAGTCCGCTGCGAGTCCAACCGAGAAGGGGCGGGAGAGATACGAGCTTGAAATCTCTTTGCAGACTGGCCAGACTACTAGTAGATGGCGAGGACGGTCGATTCCGCCGCGAGCGTCGACAGACCGCTTGAGGTCGATATAAAAGGACACCAAGAACCGCAAAAATTATCGCTGCGGAATCCACTGTGGCAGTTTTTGTGGAGAAAATTCAAATCGGAGGACAAAGTTATTATTTTCAGTCACTCTCCAAGCGTCAGGTCCAAAATGGGCATTCGATTACCGTCTGCTGAACAAAATATTAAAGGCATCCCTCACACAACATGTAATGTTCCCAGCGAGAACACGTGAACGACAAAGTGCAAACTGCCTTGATCTGGTTTTTACAAAAACACCAGACAGCATAGACGAGATCACCTCCATGCCGCCTCTTGGCCGAAGTCATCAAGTAGTGCTTATGTGGGATTATTCGTTATTAAATAAATTTAAATAAATTTCTTTTATTTAATACCAATTTACAGGCACTGTCAAGGGAAGCGATTGAACATAAATCCGACCAGCAGTGAAAAAAAACTCCTGAGCTAAAGGGATAAAAATATAGTTGATGGTGTTTTTTATGGTTTGGAGGGCTCAGGAGAAAAAACTGCCGGCGGTGGTAGAATATCGACCGTCAAGAAGTGGGGAGGTTGCACGGTATCGGAGATTATCGGACGTCGAATTCCTTTCATGAAGTCGGGGATAGCCAAAGTAGAAGCGTTGAGAACAGCTGGTGAGACTGGCCATAGTGTTCAGAGACCACAAACGCCATCGCTACGGTACAGTCGATCAGTAGATTCAGCACCCAAAATTTGTGGGAGCTTTTCTGAATGCAAAAATCGAGTAATAGTTCTCTTAAATAAAGGATAATTTTGCAGAGTTTTCACACTCATGGGTAGTTTATTCCAAATAGCAATTGCATTTACAGAAAAAAACCGACGATACTTAGCAGTACGTGCCAGAGGCAGAAATAAAAAGACCTCACGGTGACTGTTACGTCGTGGGTGAATATGATGTCTTAAAGAAGTGAGTGGGTTAAATGTGTGATTATATAAGAGTTTATATAGCAAAAATAGTCCCTTTTGTAATCTACGGAACCATAGATTTCGCATTCTCCAGACCAAAAAAGACGGAAGGTTTGACGAGGCAACTCCAATCAGATGAGGGCAGACATATCCGGTCTCGACTGGGTCTCTTTGTTTACGGGAAATGTCAACGATGACTGTGAGCTGTTCAAGGATATCCTTCCGCAGCTCATCAACGACTACTGTCCCCAGACTGGTGTAAGACTAACAAACACCCTGTGTGGTTTAATAGCAACCTGAAGAAAGAAATCAACAGGAAGCACAAATAGTGGAGAAAATGCTGCCTCACTAGGCAAGTTGAATATTTCGAAACCCACAAGGCACAGAGAAACAAACTGAGAAACCTGATCATAAAGACACAGTGGATATTCGAGACGAATTTACTACAAAAAGCAACTCAGAACCCAAAATCACTCTACAGTTGCCTCCGACGAAGTACAAGGAACAGGCACCAAATCCCCTTAATAAGTACTACTGATGGCATTGAGATTGCTGATAATAGGGATAAAGCTGCGCAGTTTTCACAGTTCTTCCAATCAGTCTACACAAAAGATTCCCTTCTCCCTCCACAGAAGAACTGCCGACACCGAGTGTCAGTGATATACGCTTCACAGAGAGCATTGTCCAAAGGGAATTAGAGGCAATGAACGAATCGAAGTCGCCGGGACCAAATGAGATTCCACCCAAGCTTCTTAAAGACCTCGCCAGTGAGTTTCTGTTCCTTTGACGATGATCTTTCAAACGTCATTTGACACTGGAACACTGTCTAACGATTGGAAGCTGAAGCATATTACTCCGTTATACAAAGGAGGTAGCAGGGCAGCGACGACAAACTACAGGCCCATAAGCTGGACATTAATTCTCTGTAAAGTTATGGAAAGGATCGTAAAGAGTGAACTGATGCAATTCCTGGAAGTTCACGGCCTGCTATCGAAGTGCCAACATG